CTCTTCCTTCTGAAGGACTAAAGAAGCTTACGAAACATAAAAGGAGGAAGAAGGCAAGAAGGGCCCTGACAAACATTTGTCAGATGCATGTTGGGTAAGGGAAGCTTGCCAAGGCTAAGCACAGTTAAGATGCAAATATGGCAGCAATCTAAAGAGTAAAAAGGAAACTGGGGGATGAAAAACAGAATATAAAAGGAGAAAAATAGATTCCTGGCTTGGGTAAAAAAAGAAATTCACAATCAAACTTGAGCAGAGCCTACATTCTGTGGGATTTTCTAAGGAGAAGGGAAGAAGTCAAAGCAGAACTGACATAACATCAGAAAGGAGTAGGGGGCAATCTTGTACTCAATGCCCTCACTAGTTCACCCTTTGAGTTACATTGTTAGTTTCCCTCATTGGGGCTGGTTAAAATTTGTATTTTGTTCTATCTTATTTGCCTAACAGGTACTGTCCCATTAAAACTGCTTTGTTTAGAGAGCCTATAAAAAATGTTAGAAATAATTATTACCTGTTAAGATAAAATTTACTAGGAAAGACAACGTAGTGTAGTAATTAAGAGCCTAGATTCTAGAGACTTCCAATGCCAACTCTACCACTTACTAGCTGTGTGACTTTGGGCAAATTAACAATTGTGTCTCATTTCTACATCTATAAAATGGGAATAATAATAGTATCTACCTCCTATGATGGATGTGAAGACTACTGAATTAATGTATCAAAAAACACTTAGAACAGTGGCTGGCACATAGTATCGGCTATTATTTGGGAGCACATGCTGCTTTTCCCCTTGAATTCCCTAGGCATGTGTCTCTCTAGGATGGTTCTGGTTGTGATTTTACCTTCAAGAGGGGACATTTAGTTCTTAAGGCAAGAGAAGTTTCCCTTTAGAATTCTATCATTAAAATGTTTATATTCTGTTTCTCACTTCTATAAAATTCTCCTGTTTCAAAATGAGACTTGCTATTGTGTGCCAAAGAGAATAATGCATTAGTCTTATCTCAGGATAACCTTACATTCATTAACCAGTGCACCTATTTTTTTTTTTTAATACTGATAGAATAAAACTGTCCAAACCACACACAGAAAGTCATCCTCACTGGAACAGACACATTATTTTGCATGGTGATTTTGCTTTTTCTGCTTGTAAAGCTTCTGCCAGCACTATCACTTGTGCACTTGTGGAATGCCTTATCCAGCAACATGGCTTTCACACAGCATTGTGTCTGATCAAGGAGCTCATCTGGTAGCAAGGGAAGTGAAACAATGGGAATCATGACTATCAAATTAGCTGGTCTTATCACATACCCCATCACCCAGAAACAACTGGCCTAACTGAAAGGTGGAATGGCTTCCTAAAATTCTCAGTTACAGTGTCAGTTGGGAGACGACACCCTAAAAAGATGGAGTTCTGTTTTACAGGATGCAGTATATTCTTTGAATCAGAGACAAATATATGATGCTGTCTCCCTCATAGCCAGAATTGTCCAGGAATCAAAGGGTGGAAAGGGAATGAATCCTCTCACTATTTTACCTAATAACCCACTTGGAGAATTTTTGCTTCCTACCCTGGCAACTTTGAATTCTGCTGGTTTGGAGATCCTTGTCTCTCAAGGGGAGATGCGTCCACCAGGGGATACAACAGTGATTCTTCCCCAAAACTGAAGATGATACTGCCACCTGGACATTTTGGGCTGCATATACCATTGGACCAACAGGTCAAAAAAAAAAAAAAAAGAACTGTGGAGAGTGTGAATCAATGTATCGGGAAAATATTCTCAAAGTTCAAAATAAACAACAAGCAGAGTGTAGCCAAAAGTTTACTTCTAAACACAGACTCAATTTAATTACTTCAATTACAGCTTATCAATGTGGGGGATTCAAAGGCAGTATGAGGAAGTTCCTGCTCATAAGGAGTTTATTATCTATTGGGGAAAGGAGGGGAAAAAGATACAGAAGATAGAAAAGACATTAAACTTACTTTCAGTGCTGGAAGAGATATTGTTGTTGCTGTTTGTAGTTAATTGCCATCCAGTTGATTCCAATTCATGGCAACCCCATGTGTGCAGTGTAGAACTACTGCATAGGGTTTTCAAGGCTGTGACCTTTTGGAAACAGATCACCAAGCCTGTCTCCAGAGACGCTGCTGGGTGTGTTCAAACTGCTAACCTTTCAGCTCGTAGTCCAGTGCTTAACTGTTTGCCCCCGGGGATTCGGAAGAGATACTGTTTTGTTGTTGTTAGGCGCCATGGAGTCGGTTCCAACTCATAGCGACCCTATGCACAACAGAACAAAACACTGCCCAGTACTGTGCCATTTTCACAATCGTTGTTATGCCTGAGCCCACTGTTGCAGCCACTATGTCAATCCATCTCTTTGAGGGTCTTCCTCTTTTTCACTGACCCTCTACTTTACCAAGCATGATGTCCTTCTCCAGGGACTGATCTCTCCTAATATGTCCAAAGTATGTGAGATGTAGTTTCACCATCCTTGCTTCTAAGGAGAATTCTGGTTGTACTTCCTCCAGGACAGATTTGTTCGTTCTTTTGGCAGTAAATGGTAAGTTCAATATTCTTTGCCAACACAATTCAAAGCTGTCAATTCTTTGGTCTTCCTTATTCATTGTCCAGCTTTCGCATGCATATGAGGCGACTGAAAACACCATGGCTTGGGCCAGGCACACCTTAGTCTTCAAGGTGACATCTTTGCTTTTTTTTAACACTTTAAAGAGGTCTTTTGCAGCAGATTTGCCCGATGCAATGTGTCTTTTGATTTCTAGACTGCTGTTTCCATCGGTGCTGATTGTGGTTCCATGGAAAATGAAATCCTTGACAACTCCAATCTTTTCTCAGTTTATCATGATGTTGTTTATTGGTCCAGTTGTGAGGATTTTTGTTTTATGTTGAGGTGTAATCCATACTGAAGGTTGTAGTCTTTGATCTTCATCAATAAGTGCTTCAAGTCCTCTCACTTTCAGCAAGCAAGGTGCGTCATCTGCATAACACAGGTTAATGATTCTTCCTCCAATCCTGATGCCCCGTTCTTCTTCATGTAGTCCAGCTTCTTGGATTATTTGCTCAGCATACAGATTGAATAAGTATGGTGAAAGGATACAACCCTGACACACACCTTTCCTAACTTTAAGCCATGCAGTATCCCCTTGTCCTGTTCACACGACTGCTTTGTAATCTACGTACGTTACAGATCCCTCAATTTTACAAATGAGGAAAAAAGCTCAAAAATGTAAATGATAACAAAAGTGTGATTAGGTACTACAATTAGCGGTGAGGGGGAGGATAAATTTAAAGAAGTGATCCATGTATGTGGAGTGGAAAGCTTTAAAGTAGAATCAAATGCTTTGAAGAAGTGGAGTCAACGTGGAAGGGCATTCTACACTTGAAGAATGAGCCCAGTCTGTCTAGGAGACAGCAAGATTTGTCTGATAAAGGGTTCAAACTGAGAAAAGACTCTTAGAATCTTAGAACTGGAAGAGATCTCAGAAACTTAGTCTAATCTGTCACCCAATGTAGAAATGCTAGGAGTCAAGGCTGAAAAGGTTGATTGAAACCAAACCGTAGAGGGCCTTGAATGCCAATTTTAAAGTCTGACCCTTTATTGTAGTGCTTCTCAACTTTTTTTTTTTAATCACTCCCCCTTTACTTTTAGACTTTTTCCCTCCCCAATAGCCTCCATTCCCATGAAATTTTAACACCACAGACATACCGTGTATCTGTTTATGTACTATGGCTCTTTGGAGAACCACAAACCATTGTTAATAGTTAAGATCCACTTCCCTGAACCAATTTTTATCTCCTTGAGGGAAATGTCACCTCAATTGAGAATGCATGCTTTATTCTATAAGCAATGGGTAGCTGCTAAGATGTTTATGAAGCCTAGGTCTCCTCCTTGACTCCCTCTCCTTTTCTTTTCCCTTCTTACTTACTTTTCCTCGTCTTCTAAGCCTCTACTTTCCTCTCAACAGTTGTAATAGATACAATTAAATTGTATTTTCTAATATTCCCTTTCTTACCTACACACACACACACACATACACACACACACAGGATTAAAAAAAAGAAGGAAAAGCAGGTACTTAAAAAATAAGTAAAAGACAAAAAATAAAAACAAAACCCCAAATTTATCCCGAGACAAATGTTGCTTTTTTTTTTTCTTCCTCATCTCGGGCCTGAGGGGCTCAGTGAATCTGAACAGAAGAGTCTCCCATCTCTTACATTATTAATGTTTTGATTATAGTATAGACACTTGTTTTGGATCAGTAAGGATGAATAATTGTCTTTTTAAATGCTTTCATGGTTCAGCAGCCATACTCAAGGTGACTTGTAGAAATCTTTGCAAAGACAGAAAGAATGAATGAAGTATATAAAAGATATTTCCTGAAAAAATCTACCCACAGCAAGACTATGGGTTAATTACATTAGGAAAACTATTATCATTATTATAATGCCAACAATTAATAATAAATGCTTATGAAGGATGCTCAAAAACATATAAATTCAAAAGTTAGATGCAATTCTTTTACAAAGGTGTTGAAGTTTTATATGAAGATACAAATACACACACATGAATTTGAGATGTTTGTACTTTTTGCATTAAAAAACTGGTAGTTTATGAGGAAAAACATAAAACGTAACATTCACTCTTTGACAAGACTGTAATGGTGTCTATATGTCATTATGCATTTGTTAAAACCCAAAGAACTACACAACACAAAGAATGAATTTTAATATAAACTATGGTTAATAATAATATATTGATATTGGTTCACTAATTGTAACAAATGTACCATACTAATGCAAGATGCTAATAATGGGGAAAACTCTGCGGGTTTAGGGGGAATGAGGGTGCAGGATTGGGGTAGGGATATAGAATTCTATGTACTATTTGCTCAATTATTCTGTAAATCTAAAAACTACTAAAAAATAAATTCTATTTAATTATTTAAAAAAAAAAAAAAGGACCAAAACAAATAACTTTCTTTGGTTCTAATTAAAAGGTAATATATATCATGTAAGAGTGATTTCAAACAAATTAATATACGAAAGCATGAAGTTTTTATTATATTACACTTTGCTACTATTCTTGACCTTAATATAGTCTTAGGTACAGAGCAATAGTTAGATTCTGTTTGTAAACAAGAAAACATATTTCATTAAAAATCATCCACTAATACTTACACTTTCCTTTGTATACTGGAGATATTGGACTAAATGCCTTCTTAGAAAAGCCATGTCAACTATTTTTTTTAAAGTTTCTAAAATGTATGTTTTCCAATGTTTTGGTCTTACTGGTATTACTTAATGGAGCTATCTATGATGCTTCTATGACGTTTTGGAATATGAACAAATCATCTTGTGTCTTCTACTTCCACAAGCAAGTAACAGGGCTTTCACTCTAGTCTTCATATTGTTTTTTGTCTGAAGTTTATGGGCAAGATTTAGCTCCATAGATATGGATGGAAACGCAGGTCTGACAAGTAACATCAATATCAGGACTAAAAGTCCCAGGACTACAAACCACTGTAGAGGAAAACACATGGGGCAGATCATAATAGTTTCTGTCAGAGGTGTTCTATACCAATAGTATAAATCTGTCTTCAATATCACTTCATTTCTATATCTATGTTATGCTGAGTCATGTTCAGCCAATTAAGTTGTGGGAGATTATCTGTGAGTTTCAAACTTTGTAGTCTGATGATCTTAAAAACAGGAGAAAGTTAAAATACGAACTCTTTTTTTCTTTAGTATCAGCATTACACAGTATCTTCTGAGTACCCCATTTATGAGTTTTTATTTCAATCTGTTTTCTAGGTAAGACCATTCTGGTTTTTTTTCACAGTATAGTAGCTTAAGTCAGAATACTATAGAAATGTTTTGTAATACAGTGAGTACATTGGGAAGAATTAATATACATTAAGACAATTATATTTAGAAATGTGGGCTTTGAGTTTTTACTTCCCTTTAGCTAAATATGATTTTTTTGTAAGCGAAGCACTGTGAATATTCAATTAATTATCAACTATTCTTCTGACTATATCATTTAAATATTTAGATATTTATATTTCATAATTACCGCAGCAGCTAGCGCAATTACTGTGCATAGCTTCATTTTTTCCAAAGCCTGGACGACAGCTATCCATACGTACTACTTGAAAACTGTGGTCTATAAAATGCATAGCTGGTAGAGTTTTATTAAGGTCATGGTAGAAAATATATGCTTGACTCCGAAAAAATTCTTCTATCCGATCTCTTGCCTAAGATTTAAAAATACCAGAGAGAAGTATAATTACTAAACCATGAACCAAATTTCTCTTCCTATATCAGCTACAATGAAATGCACTATAAGCATGCCATCCGAAAAAATTCTTCTATCTGATCTCTTCCCTAAGATTTAAAAATACCAGAGAGAAGTATAATTAGTAAACCATGAAACAAATTTCTCTTCCTATATCAGTTGTGATGAAATGCACTATAAGCATGCCATGCTTTACACCACACTCCTGAAAAGTTGTGTGTTAATACTAAAATTAGCCTAGCTTGACCATATCAATTATTGGCAATTCACATGTACAATAGTTAAGAAAAACTAAACTGAGATTTAAAAAAAAAAAAATGAAAAACTTGCCTTAAATTATTTACAACATGACCATTTCATATGTAGGTAACTAGGAGTTCATTATTTCTAAACATATGTAATTGTTAAGGAAAAAGAGCCAAGAAAAATAGAAAACTAGACTTTTCTCTAATTAGCATTTCAAACTAGTTATATAAATTGTTTCATTTTTTGATCACAGAGTTTACTAACACTAACTGAATGCTACCCGTAAGCCATATACAGCATTAATAGTATGGGCTCAGGAACCAGACCAGGGGAGTGAAGGGATTTTTCAGACTATGTTCTTAGCCTCTGAGAATGGCAGAGGAGAGAAAAACTGTTATGATCAGTACAGATTTTGGAAGAACTAATTTTGGAAGAACCACTGGTTTAACCTAGGATGACATGATTGAAAGGATGTTCTTCAAGCTGTTGTTCAATCACCATTTGGGGAACAAAGACTAAGGATTCATCCTTCTGTCATAAATACAATATATAATATTTTAACCTGGCAGAGATATACAATATCCCAGATGTATTATTCCAAAATAACACATCTTGACATAGCCATGAATCTCACAAACTCAGTTTAAAAAGCTGAAAGCAAAAACCAACAATGCTTTTTATATATGTAAGTTTTTTTTAAAGAATAATTTAAAGCTACTTACTTAGAAATATCTTTGTTATTGATAAATACTCACAACTTGGAGAAATAGATTTTTTAAGATGTTTAATAAACAGAAATATTTTTTTAATTAGGTTCTTTTTTTTAATTATTGTAGTTTAGATGAAGTTTACATTTCAAGTTAGTCTCCCATACAAAAATTTATACATACATTGTTACATGACCCTAACTGCTCTCCCCAGACTGTGACAGCACACTCCTCCTTTCCAGCCCTGATTCCCCATGTCCATTCAACCAGCTCCTAACCCTCTCTGCCTTCCCATCTCACCTCCAGGCAGAAGCTGCCCGTTTAGTCTCTTGTATCTACTTGAGCTAAGAGGCACACTCCTCACCGGTATCCCTTTATGTCCCATAGTCCAGTCCAATCCCTGTCTGAAGAGTTGGTCTCAGAAATTGTTTTATTTCTGGGCTAATAGAATCCAGGAGCCATACTTTCTGGGGTTCCTCCAGTCTCAGACCATTAAGTCTGTTTTCTTACTAGAATTTGAGTTCTGCACCCCACCTTTCTCCTGCTCCATCAGCGACTCTCTGTTGTTTTTCCTGTCTGGGTGGTCATTGGTGGTCGCTGGGCACCATCTAGTTCTTCTGGTCTCAGGCTGGTGAAGTCTCTGGTTTATGTGGCCCTTTCTGTCTCTTGGGCTAATACTTCCCTTGCGTCTTTGGTGTTCTTCATTCTCCTTTATTCCAGGTGGTTGGGACCAACTGATGCATCTTACATGGCTGCTTGTAAGCTTTTAAGACCCCAGATGCCACTCACCAAAGTAGGATGCAGAACATTTTCTTAATAAGCTTTTTTATGCCAATTGACCTAGATGTCCCCTGAAAGCATGGTCCCCAGATCCCTACCCCTGCTACTCTGTCTCTCAAAGTGTTTGATTGTATTCAGGAAACTTCTTACCTTTGATTTTTAGTCCAGTTGTGCTGACTTCCCCTATAGTGTGTGCTGTCCTTCCCTTCACCTAAGATAATTCTTATCTACCATCTAGTTAGTGAATAACCCTCATCCTCCCTCCCCACCCTCATAACCATCAAAGAATGTTTTCTTCTGTGTTTACACCTTTTCTTGAGTTCTTATAATAGTGGTCTTATACAATATTTGTCCTTCTGTGACTGACTAAATTCACTCAGCATGAGTTCCAGCTTCCTCCATGTTATGTTTCACGGCTTCATCGTTGTTCTTTATTGTTGCATAATATTCCATTGCATGGATATACCATAATTTGTTTATCCATTCGTCCGCTGACAGGCATCTAGGTTGTTTCCATCTTTTTGGTATTGTGAACAGTGCTGCAATGAACATGGGTGTGCATATATCTATTCATGTGACGGCTCTTATTTCTCTGGGATATATTCCAAGGAGCAGGATAGCTGGATCGTATGTTACTTCTATTTCTAGCTTTTTAAGGAAGTGCCAAATCGATTTCAAAAGTGGCTGTACCATTTTACATTCCCACTAACATTGTATAAGTGTTCCAGTCTCTCCACAACCTCGCCAGCATTTATTATTTTGTTAAACAGAAGTATTTATAAAAATTTTAAAATCCCTTTATTGACTATTCAAATACTTTGCCCTTACATTGAAATTCTTACCTGGAGGATATTACGATTAGTGTTATCTTCACAGTCAACAGACTGGTTGCATGCAGCTTTCCACCCTGGTGCAAAAGGATTAACTGGAGAGGGAAAAAAATGATAGGTTCACAAAGAGATTCTAAAATGTTCTAAACATTTCAATAAAGTTGTAAACTCTGAATTCAGTATGCATGTATGCATACATTTATCTAATCCTAGTAATAAAGTAAGGTGCACAATTCGAATAATTTATACACTATGATTTCACTCCATCTGGGGGCTAAAGGAAGTAACTACAATGCTTCAAAGTAAAAAGAAATAACTTCAGTTTGGTTTCTCCCTTTTACTAAGTTCTGTAAGAAATTATAATGCATTAGCTGCATAATTAAAAACTATATTCTATAAAATGATGATGACTTCTAAAAGATAAGCAACACTATATTTGAAGGTAAATAATTAGTATTAATTTTTAAAACCATAACCAAGCTAAGACCAGTAATATATTTTAGTGTTGAACAAACATTTAAGGCCTACTACTTAAAAGATATCTCATATTAATATGATAATTAATTTTTTAATCTATTATGGTTTAGGACTAAGCTACTCACAAAGTTAAAGAAATATTTCAAAATATTTTTACCTTGAAAGGCTATAAAAAGCTCATGTATGAGGCCATGTTTTGGAATTTTAACAAGATGGCATTTATATGATGGTTCTATGACATGGCATGTCAAATCAGAGATTAAATTATCCAAGATTTTCTTCAGCACTCTAAAAAGCAGATCATTGTATCTTCCTACACAAGACTTTGTGGTAAAACGTACAGCCATCTGATATGAATAATCAGGCTCCCGATAAGCTTAAAAAAAAAAAGATGAGAATAAAAACAATTGTGCCTAGCATAACATCTTCTACCAATTTTCAAATAACACATATTAAATCTCATCATAGAAACTTATCTAATAAAATGTTTTTATCGGTTAATCTTTACAGAAATATATAAAACTAGTAACTTTAATGAAAAATATTATCTTCATCTGATATATTATCTACTCAGTACACGAGGAGAAATGGTTTCTGTAGGTTGGTTATATAGATAAAAGTTGACAGTGTCAAAAAAAAAAAAGATTGGGAGGTATTAATTTGCATAAAGTGTCATCGTTGTCAGCAAAAGTCCAGTGAAAAACATCATGAATTTGCTTTTGTAGAATTAAACAGGGCCTATTAAACATTGATTCACTGCCATCGAGTCGACTCTGACTCATAGCTACCCCATAGGGTTTTCAAGGCTGTAAATCTCTGCAGAAGCAGACTGCCACATCTTTCTCCTGAGGAGCCGCTGGTGGTTTGAACTGTCGATCTTTCATTTAGCAGCTGAGTGCTTTAACCACTGTGCCATGAGGGCTCCTTCAATGTTTAATTAAAAAAAAAAACCTGTTGCCGAGTCAATTCCGACTCATAGTGGCACAGTGGTTAAAGCAACAGATTGTTAACCAAAAGGTTAGCAGTTCAAAACCACCAGTGGCTCTGCGAGAGAAAGATGTGGCTGCCTGCTTCTATAAGGAAATCCTATGAGGTCGCTATGAATTGGAATCGACTGGATGGCAGTGGGTTTGGTTTGGTTTTTTAATTAAACATTGGAGTCCCGGTGGTGCAGTGGTTAAGTGCTCGGCAGCTAACCGAAAGGTTATCAGTTCAGAGACACCAGCTGTTCCTTGGGAGAAAGATGTGGCAGTTTGCTTCTGTAAAGATTACAGTCTTGGAAACCCTATGGGGCATTCTACTCTGTCCTGTAAGGTCACTATGAGTCGGAATCGACTGGATGCCAACGGGTTTGGTTTTTGGCTTTTGGTACTATGAGGAGCCCTGGTGGCACAGTGGTTAAGAGCTATGGCTGCTACAAAAGGTCAGTAGTTCAAATCTACCAGCCACTCACTGGAAATCCTACAGGGCAATTCTACTCTGTCCTATAGGGTCGCTATGAGTTGGAATCGACCTGATGGCAGTGGGTTTTGTTTTTGTTTATCTTGATGTCAAGGAGACCCAGTGATGCAGTGGTTGAGCACTCAGTTGCTAACCAAGGGGTTGGTGGTTCAAACCCACTAACTGCTAGCTGCTCCACAGGAGAAAGATGCGGCAGCATGCTTCTGTAAAGATTTACAGCCTTGGAAAATCTACAGGGCAGTCCTACTGTCCTATAGGGTCGCTATGAGTCAGGATCGACTTTACGGCAAAGGGTTTGGTTTTGGTTTTTTATCTTAATGTCAGTTTAAGAGTTTGCCTGGTCAAATACACCCAAAATACTCCGTAAGTCATAATGATTTTATATAACAGACTCGTTTTAATTAAACGAAGAAACCATACATTTAATTCTGATTTAAACTAAATGTACCAATTAAAATGTGCTTATATTCTTACCAAACATTATAAATTCATATGTTTTCTTTACTGTCTTTTCTTCTTGAGTTTCTGCTTTGACAGATTTATAAGAAAAAGTACATGTGTAAGGTCCAGACAAAGACTCCAGAAAATCTTTCACCATCAGCTTTCCTGTGTTAGTTATATTTATTCGATTGTTTCCTAAACAGATATAGTAAACAACTTGATAATTTAATATATAACAATTCAAACATTATTTAGTAAATGTAGTTATAACACAATACAAAAATAAAAGTAAATTAATGGACTATTTTCACTTCAAAAATCCAACAAAATTTTAATTCTGTCATATTACTATATGGAAAACCACATGAAGTAAGTATACTTTTGAAATATATATTGGTTTTCTTTAATTCATTTCTTGGCATCTAGTTTTGACTGTTTATGTTAGTAATCAGGAAATGAGATTACACTGCCCAGTAGTACTACACAATTTTTCACATAAGACAGAAATTAATTTATAATGCTTATATTCTAAGACACTCTTCTAGCATCATGAAAAATTACATACTAGATACCTCATCTCCTATTACAGGTGCTACAAGAATAAATTACAGGTTTTTATAAAAAACTTTGATCTACTACAGCTCTGGGACATAAGTAAAAATGACCAGTCTGCTTTTGTCTGAACAGAAAATAAGGCCCAGACCGAGATGTAACATGATTTGACTAAGCATGTAGCAAGTGAAATTCAGTTAAAATTAATTTTCAATTTGCTCTTTCTAATAAGCTAAAGTGCTTTATTAAAAAATTTTCACATCATTAAAAATCAAGATATTAAAAATCAAATAATTTACCTGTTAATTTATTTTCATTAGGTCCAATCCATACATAAGTGGGGTCCACTGTTTCTTTTTTAGCACGTTTAGAATCCATACAGACAAGGATTGGACTGTTTTGATGTAATTTTACATATATTTTCACTGTGACAAAATAACATAATTATATAGCAAAATTCAGAAATATATTTCCTACCATTTTTTCCCCCAGAGATACTCTGATTAGTTCTTTGGATTTCACTATTTTAAAAATCAGCTATATCATTATCATTTAGAATGATAGTCTAATTTCTACTTTTCATAGGAAGTTTTAAAAACTCTAGACTGCTAAAGAATCGTGCTACTTTTCTTTTTGCTGATATTATAGTTTTAATTTTGTTTATAAAAATGTACATGATACATTTAGAAGTTCACTTTAATGTACTGATTCAAAACTCACTCCAATCATAATTTTTTGAAGGGTTAGTGGAATCAATTTAAAGACAGTAGAAAAAGACGTGGGCTTGTTCCTTGCAAAACTATTTTAAAGATGACCATTGTCATCCCTATAGGGACTTTGATATTTAACTGTAAATTTCCTGTTTAAAACAATAATTAAGCCTATGTGGGGAATACCAGAAGATCGTAGTCATTTTCTGCAATTACCTATTCTGTTCCGGAGTTGGTGGAAGCAGCAGTAGTACGCTCCGAACCAACGCAGTCCCACAAGATAACTTATTTTAAAGCCTACTGAATGCCAGAGTGAGCATATTAAGGCACTATCCTACAATCTAGTGGGGCAATCAAACATGGAGGGATCTCAATCATGACAACTGCTACGAAATGGCTCAAAGTTATCGAGCAGCACAGCTGAGTAATCTTCCTGGGGAGGGGGGGAGTGTGGGAAAGTTTCATTTGAGTGATAAATGACATTTGAGGGAGGCCTTAAAGAATATGGAGGAGTTCTTCCAGTTAACAAGGGGAGGGACAAGGGCGTTCCAAACGGGGGAACTTCCAGCCCTGGGAATCACTCGTCTGAACTTGGTCTCTCAAGTTGCAAAGCAGCAAAGAAACCTGGCAGTGAGGTGGCATGAGAGAAAGAGATCTTGGAATGAACCCTAGCTCCTTACGAGCTGTGCAGCTTTAGGCAAGGTGATACACCTAAGGCGGAGGGTCGCTGTGAGGATGACACGAGGCAACCTTCGTGAACGGCCGAGGACACAGTTGGTGTTCAAAAAATGTTCGCTCCCTTTCCCTCAGCGGGAAGAACCTTAGCAGGTCCAGGCACCCCCGGCTCTTCCGATAGGCTCTGCGTATGAAGAGGTCCTTATTACCTGGGTGTCCTGGCGTGCCATAAATGAAGCCTTTCTTATTTTGTAAGGCAGAACGCTGCCATCCAACTGCGGAGGAAAGAAACCACTGACTTTTTAGGCAGAAGAGCAGCCAGAGCTCAGAGCGGGGCAGGGCGGGGCGAAGCGGAGGAGGCAGGACCGGGAACCTGGGGAACAAGGGAGAGGCTTTGGGGCCGGGCGGGAGGAGCCCCACCTCCTGTGAGGTACCAGAGCACCGCGGAGAGTAGGACCCACGCTCGCATCATGGCTCAGGGGCTAGCGTCGCCGGAGGCGTCGAGGGGTGGGCGCCTTCCTACCTCAGTCCCGGCCCAACACCTCCCCATTTCGCCTCCACAAAGCAGAGCAAACTGCCGAGGTCAGCTCCCCTACCCGTCCGTCGCTACCGCGGGAGCCGACGCACCGGAGAGCGCATGCGTGTTACGGGGGCTCGCGCGCAGGGGCGACGCGCGCGGGGGCGAGGTCGCGCGCGGGTCAGGGCGCGGACGGGGCGGAGGGGCGCTAGGTGAGTGCGCGGGAAGCGAGTGCCCCGCCCCCTTGCGTCCACGCGGCTGCCGTCGTGCGGCGCTTCGCGCCTCTGGCCTGGCGCCATTTTCCTGAGCTCCCGGTGTTTTAGTTAAGTGAGCGGGTTCTTAGTTCTCTGAGGGACAAAAACAGTAAAGGAAAATAACCCAAGGCTTCGCGTTTCGGGGACTTCTTTAGAGAACACCGTGAGTCCCAAGTATGGCGGTAGGGCAGGGGGATGCGATTACAGTAGGCTTGAGGCTGGGAGAAGCTTGTGAGAATTTCTTCCTCACGTGAAGCAGAGCCATGCGTGGAGATTTTCTGTGCCCTTCTCATGCCAGAGCCCTGGTGGCATAGTGATTAAGAGCTCAGCTGCTAGCCAAAAGGTCCGCAGTTCAAATCCACCAGCTACTTCTTGGAAACCCAATGTGGCAATTCTGCTCTGTTCTGTGTGGTCCTTAGGAGTCCGAATCCACTCGACGGCAACAGGTTTCTTCTCATAAACTCTGAAACGGTGCCCGATGTTTTTCAAACTCTCACACCTAATTTTTACCTAACAATTCTACTCACAAAACCAAGACCCTGAAGAACCACTAGTCCTCTAGCAAAGAGCCTCCGGGTCTTCCTACTCCAGAGGAACGTTTAATCTTCATTTTCAACTTCGAATATGAGACAATGTTGACAGACTCCCACGCAAAGTTATCTAGGATTGTGAAGTAAACTTGGTTTAAAAGAAGGGCCCAATTGAAAGGCAAGACGCCAGGATCTGCTTTTCCTATGGAGATGGACAATTAGCTAAGATCAGATCCAAGAGAGATCATGCCCCTGTCCTTTGTCCTAGTTTGGTGGGCTGAAACTCCCAATGAGCTGTCTAGTTCTTAGCAAAGGGACACCCTCAGTTGTGGTTTTGAGTAGGATGGTAAGTAGAGAGCCTACGGTTCAGACAGGGCTAAACCAGAATGATTATTTTGAGTGAGATCAAGGGTTTTCAGTTTTATTTCCTTTGAGCAGAGTCAGTACTTGGACTATCTGAGATGGTCTAGGAGCAACCTTTGTCAGTAATTTCATTTTTAGTCATTGTTAATTTTTATCTGTCAAGCATAAGCATTGAAATGTGACTCAGTGAGTCAGATCCATCCATCTTGGGTTACCGTGTCTAGATTCATGGTTTAGTTTCAACTGTTCTTAAGGTGATGATAATGAAGACAAATTTAGGCAATATCCTCCATTCTCTAAAAGCTTGTTATTCCAGTTTTACTCAAAGTACGTTATAAGCTCACAATATGTTTCATTAGCTTCCTAGTTATTGTAAGTAATTGATCCTTGTAAATCCTGTGTGATAAACTTTTAATCCTATGAGAAGAGACGTGACCAAATGAGTAGTAGTTGCCTGTTGAGTGTAGATGATCCTGTTACCCATCCACTTTTTAAAATTTTTATTTTAGAACAGTTTTAGAGTTACAGAAAAATGTAGAATATATAGTTCCCATATACCCCACACCCAGTTTTACCTATTATTGACATATTAGTATGGTACATTTCTCACATTCATGAGCCAATTTTAACACATCATTATTAACTAAAGGTCATACTTTATTCATATTTCCTTAGTTTATACCTTAAGTCCTTTTTTCTGTTCTGTAATCCCACCCAGGACACCACTTTACATTTAGTCATCATGTCTGCTGGCTCCTCTTGACTATGAGTTTCTACGACTTTTCTTGTATTTGATGACCTCATCGTTTTGAGTAATACTGGTCGGGTATTCTGTAAATAGCTTTCTATTGGAATTTGTGTGATTTTTTCCTTATGATTAGACTGGGATTATGGGGTTTTTGGGAGGAAGACTACAGAGGCAAACTGTCATTCACATCACATCATATCAAGGGTACATACTATCAACATGACATCACTGTTGATGTTAACATTGATCACCTAGCTGAGATAGTATTTGTCAGGTTTCTCCACTGTAAAGTTACTCATCTTTCCGCCTTTTCATGCTGTAGCTACATAAATTATTTTACCTATCTACTTTTTTTATCTCCTTATGCATCACTCTTTGGAGTCTGAAATACTCAATACTGAGTTAGGTGTTTAAAGAGTAGTAACACTTTCCACTGATGGTGCAGTGGTTAAGAGCTCAGCTGCTAACCAGAAGGCCCACAGTTCATCATATCCACCAGCCACTCCTTGGAATCCCTATGGGACTGTTCAATTCTGTCCTATAGGGTTGCTATGAGTTGGAATAGATTCAATGGCAACAGGTTTGGTTTGTTTTTATTTTTAACCTGTTCCACTCTTATTTAAGTATATTTATTAAAAACATTGTAATGGAAGATAAAAGTTCTTTACGACTTTTTAATAATCAAATAACTATTCATCCTCACATCATCCCTGTGAAATTTTCCAGTTCCTCTTCTGCTACTTTTGATGTGCTATTTTTGCTTTTAGAAACTAACAACAAATTTCCCGTTTCAGTACTAAAATTAGACCTAATGTTTAGAGTATTTCTCTAAAGTTGATATTATCCTGTATAACTCCAGCCCAAACAAGCTATGGAAATGCTACTGTGTTGCCATGATCTTAAACAAAGCCAATGCAAGCTCTTCACTCATTTAAAAAACTGTATATTGACCTCTTATGCCAAGGCATTATTTACAATAAACTAAATTCGTCAATTACAACATGCACTTGTAAGTGTTGCTTTCTTCTGATATGATCTGCTGATGCACAAAACCCCATACTTAAGTCTGAAATATATTTGCATATACTAACAATATCATTTTCAAACAAGGTGGCAGTGACCTTTTCGAGAATCATTCCTATATTGTCCACTTTAACATACTGGGTATCTTTATCACCTGAGCAATGTCGCTTAGACCTCAGTGTGAAGAAAAGTTCTGCTTTTGAAAAACTGTTATGTGGTCACTTCCCCTTTGCCCTCAGTGCAGTCAAATGTGTGCTTTACCTCTATAAAATAGAGAGGATGTTGGAAAAAGATGTTGTCTGGTACATCTCTGTATACTAAGATCTTTGAGTTATTTTTACTATCTAACCATTTGCCCCCACCCCCCAGCTCTGCTTTCTTTACTTACTTTTCTGATCTAGTATATGTATTTTTGTAAGCTGTCTCAGATCTTATTTGGAAGAAGGCAAGGTAGTAGAAAATAAACACACATAAATAGAATGAATAGTGTTCTTTGAGTAGTGGTGAACAAACGAAGCAGTTCCCAGAGGGAAAACAAAAGTGAGCCAATTGCTTCCTAAAATGAAAAGGTTGAATTGATAAAAGTGCCAAAATCCTTTTGAAGTATCTTAGAGCTTTCCGAAAACTTGGACAAGAACTTATATCATGTGAAATAAGAAACTGTGGAAGAAAAAAACCAGAAATAATACTTAGAATGAAGCGAGTTCTCATTGATTGTATTCATGGCTATCATTCCTAAATTTAAACAACGATTAAAAGTTCCACATCTTGCTCGATTTAAGACGAGCCTCTTTGAACTTAATTAAGCTTGCTAAAAAGCGACCCGGATCCCCCGCCCTCCACATGTGACAATATTATTCTATTCCGTTATCCTTCTAAAATAGACACTGTGAGACAATTTACTGATGCGCCATTTCCACTCTATCGGGGTTCTCGGGTTTGACATTCAAAAGGGGGCTGGAGGCGCGGAACCTCAGCTCCGCGGTAAGCGTTCTTTAAAGCCGCCGCCAGCCAGCGCCGCTCTAACTCCGCGCACCGGCCAGTCGCCGGCTCCTGGCTAGTTGAATCTGCGCCGACGCGGCGGCCGGATCCCGGGGACTCCCCACGCCGGGAATCTCCCGCCAGCTGCGCGCGGCGTCCCGGCGACGGCAGGAGCACGTGGAGCGGCCCAGGAGCCAGAGCGGCAGCTGCAGCCCAGCCCAGCCCGGCAGCGACATGGAAGGTGAGCCTCCAGACCGCTTCTTTTCTTGGGGGTCTTTGAAAAGCTCGACCGGTGCACCGAGCGGGGAGAGTTCCTTCTGAATGAATCTCGGTTTTGCTTCTATTTATTTCTTTTGTCAGAAGTAAATATGAGGTATTTGAGAGGGCAGAGCTTGTCAGTTCTCACACAGCTCTCATTTGCACCCCCCCCATCCCCACCCTAACTTTGGAAAGTGGTAAATTCTCCACAGTTTTCTTAGGGGTTGTCAGACCTCAGGGGTCAACCCTAATTCTGCAGTGGAAGAGCGTTTTTATGTGGAGTCTCTGAAATGGCAGCAAACCTGGGGTGGAATAACGAATTCTTGTGGATGCTTATTTTCGTGGCCTCAGTGCCCATTGGAATTAGGCTAATCTGAGTTACATGTTTTGAATGAACGGTGACTGCTCTTTTTTTCCTAAGGGTAAATAGGGAAAGGTAAATTTTAAAGTGGTTAGCACTTGAAGTTCCCTTGGAACTTGATCTTCTCATGATCTTTCTTTACCCGAGGCAAAAATCAGGCTCACAATAAGTTCCATTTGAATTAATTTTGAAAGTCATAAAACCATCCTTCTGAAAAACTTTCAGTATGTATTTCCTTGGGATAACTAAAATCTCACACTGGTGGTGTAAACTCGTCAGTAGTCTTTTCAGCAAGTGTTTCTACAACCTTGAAAATGGCAGATGCAGCTCATGTTGGGGGAGGTGGTGATATTTAGAAAATCAGAATTTGTGTGAGAAGTATTCATTCTATTAATAAATGAGATGCTAATACCGAATCAACTTATTGATGTTAATTTTTATAAATAATATGGGTGAATATCATGAATATTTCATTGTAATTGAAGGATCTCATATTTGCCCCTTGATCTTTGGTAGCTTTAGTTCTAGAGTATATGGAGTTTTTAAAATATGATTAGATATTTGGGGAC